ACTTTATTATGGTATAGTATTTAAATTTATGCCTGAGAAACACATAATATTGGCCCTTTAAAAATGGATGAAATGAGCACATAAATATGATTATGCCCTTGTTTAATTGGCCTGATACCCAGAATTTTTTGTTTTGCTTTTGTTTTGAAAAGTTTCCATGTTAGTGTGGATGTCATGATTATCAGTCATGACTTCAGGTTGTCAGTTTTAGCTCCCAGTGATGTAAGTGCTTCATTAAATGATGCAATTTACCCAGTCAAATCTGACAATTTGGCCACAAATTCTTCTCCCTCCTCTCCATAGGTGCACATTTAGGGGTATACTCATTTTTGAATGCAATTTTCTAGAGTTTCCCAAACAATTATTCCAATTCATCCATATTTTACTCCTAAGAGTATCGAAAACGCTTTAGAAATTGGTTTTAAATCATCCTGCACATTAAACTTCTCCTGTGTATCTCTGGCTAATGGAATCCTATCAGGTGTGTTATGGTATGTTGGTTATTAGCTTTTAGCTGGTTTCATTGCAATTTTTACAGACCGATGCCTCTGAAGCTGTTGATTAAAATTCTCCCATGCCCCCCGGAATGAATTCCCTGGTTGACCATCTAAAGCAGAAAATAATATTAGTAAAATGTCATTTTCTGGTTGTGGTCAGGGGGGCTGTACAGTGTCTCAGTGGATGACAACGACTCACCAATCCTGTTTTTATTGGAATGCCGATATTAAACCAAAATATCAGCTCATCTTCAATGTCGAGATCCAGGGTCCTATTTGTCCTTCTATTATTTACTGCTGGTTTCTAAAATTACTCAGTAATTATATAATTTAAGATGTTTTTCTGTTTATGCTTATTCACTGGGTACATATGGGTAGAGACAAATCTCTGTTTTCTAACGTAAACAAACTAAAACAAAACAGTGGTCTAAATCAAGAAGGTACTTGCACCATACAAAATATTGACACCAAAAACCAAATGCTCACTCTCACAAACACCATCTGGTGGGTTTGCGAGGGCTTCTTCTTGACAGGACAAATTAGTTTGAAACAGTCAGATACACCAAGCAAAATTAGATTTTCTCGATTTATAATGAAAGCTGACAGACTGTAATGAAAAACCGCTCGATCTCACGTACACCCAGATGAACTGTAAAAGTGCGTCTGGATTTTTTCCCCCTCCAATCTAATCGGGGTGTTCTCTGTTTTCAATATCTGAGTTACTTTATTTTTCTCCTAAATTGGATGTTCTAATTCAGTTTGGGTTGGAGTGTGATGTTTATTTTTTTTTTCCTGATGTCTGTTTCTGCTCTTCCAGTCAAACTGTAAGTAGTTTATTTTGAGGTGAGTTGCACCTCTTTGTGTGTGCGCCTCTGTGACCCGAGGTATAATGGGATTATCCTGCTCAAGGCAAGACGTAGATGCCTTGAATTCTAATATCAAAGAATTCCT